TTTTTACCTTTCTCCTAGACCTTGCAATTTTTACCTTTCTCCTAGACCTTGCTATTCTTTACCTTTCTCCGAGATTTTGCCTTTGCCCGTTTTCCTTTCTCCTAGACCTTGCTATTTTTACCTTTCTCCTAGACCTTGCTATTTTTACCTTTCTCCTAGACCTTGCTATTTTTTACCTTTCTCCTAGACCTTGCTATTTTTTACCTTTCTCCTAGACCTTGCTTTTTTCCTTTCTCCTAGACCTTGCTATTTTTTACCTTTCTCCTAGACATTTGTTTAACTTTCTCTTAAAACTTGTTTCTTTCTAACTGTCTCCCATACCTTGCTATTCTTAACCAATTCTCCTAGACCTTGCTATTTTTCAACTTTCTCCTAAACCTTGTTGTTTCTTAATTTTCTCCTAAACTTTGCTATTCTTTACCTTTCTCCTAGACCTTGCAATTTTTACCTTTCTCCTAGACCTTGCTATTCTTTACCTTTCTCCGAGATTTTGCCTTTGCCCGTTTTCCTTTCTCCTAGACCTTGCTATTTTTACCTTTCTCCTAGACCTTGCTATTTTTACCTTTCTCCTAGACCTTGCTATTTTTTACCTTTCTCCTAGACCTTGCTATTTTTTACCTTTCTCCTAGACCTTGCTTTTTTCCTTTCTCCTAGACCTTGCTATTTTTTACCTTTCTCCTAGACATTTGTTTAACTTTCTCTTAAAACTTGTTTCTTTCTAACTGTCTCCCATACCTTGCTATTCTTAACCAATTCTCCTAGACCTTGCTATTTTTCAACTTTCTCCTAAACCTTGTTGTTTCTTAATTTTCTCCTAAACTTTGCTATTTTTTGCCTTTCTCCTAGACCTTGCAATTTTTACCTTTCTCCTAGACCTTGTAATTTTTTAACTTTCTCCAAGATTTTCCTATTTTTTACCTTTCTCCTAGACCTTGCAATTTTTTAACTTTCTCCTAGATTTTGCTTTTTTTACCTTGCTCCTAGACCTTGCGAGTTTTTTATTAACTTACGTTTAAAGAAGCAATGCTATAAAAACAACAGTATCGTAAAAAATCCCATCTACTCACAAGAACATTTCTTCTTTAAATAATGGGTATTATCTACACTCTACATCTCCTGTATGTCTAATTCTGTATTATATCCCCTGTATTTCAACATATATCCCGTGTATTTCTACTATATATTTTAGCCCCTGTTTTTCTACCTAGCCCCTGTATGTCTACCTGTATTATAGCCCCTGTATGTCAACTTGCATTATAGCCCCTGTATTTCTACTTGTATTAAAGCTGTATTTCTACTTGTATTAAAGCTGCATTTCTACCTGTATTATAGTCCTTCTATTTTAACCTGTATTTAAGCCTCTGAAGTTCCACCTATAGCCCTTGTATTTCTACCTATAATATAGTCTCTGTATGTCTAACTAGCCACAGTACGTTATAATGTTATTATTGCTCTGTATTTCAACTTGCACTATAGCCCTTGTATTTCTACCTGAAGTATAGCCCCTGTATTTCTATCTGTATTATAGCCCTTACATATCTACCTGTATCATTGGCCCTGTATTATAGCCCTTGGATGGCTACCAGTATTATAGCCCCTAGGAGGTATTTCTACTTGTATTATAGCATTGTATTTCTATCTTTTTTATAGCCTCTTTTTTCCACCTGTATCATTGCCCTTGTATTTCTACTTGTATTATAGCCCCTGTATTTCTACTTGTATTATAGCCCTGTATTTGTACCAGTATTATAGCCCCTGTATTTCTACTTGTGTTATAGCCCCTGTATTTCGACCAGTATTATAGCCCCTGTATTTTTACCTGTATTATAGCCCTTGTATTTCTACCTGTATTGTAGCGCCTGTATTTTCTCTGATATTCTTGATTCTAGTTCCCCCTTTTCCTAAAATATGTTTTTAAGTTTTTTTGATTTTGTTTTCAGAAAACCTCTAAAGGAAATAATATTCATTATATTTATATCAATATTTCACAAATGTTTTAGAATTTAGATTATTAAGAACATTTATTTCCGAAGTACTGTCATATAGTTTAATTAATTTACCACCAAAATGTTACAACTCTTAAAGGTGAAAAGTCAACTAAATATGTCAACCTTATTCCTCCCTCCCCCTCTCCCTCCCCTCCCAACAAAAAATTAAGGAGAACTAATTATTAATGAAAATCTAGAATCCAACAAAAACTTAGATTAGTTTTATTTCTGTGTGATTGAGGTCTACATATAATTTTGATCGTGTTTACTTAAAACTATGAAAAACAATATTACGAATTTTGTAATTTTTAGATATCTTTTAGACACCAATTTATTTATTTGTTTAACCCTATTTGACCCCCCCTGTAGTTTTTTTTTACATAACTCAAAAAGTGTTGGTCTGAGGCTGTTGAAATTTTCTGACTTTTCCTACATACCCAAAGCCATCCCTTTAGGCCTAAAACCGGGCTTTAATACTAACTGCCTGAGTCCTCAGGGCACTGCCTAAATGACTGTTTTTTCCTGTAACAAACTAAATCTTTGTTTTTACCCACTTCCACTTGTCAGATTTTGATAAAATTTAGCTTTTTGGAAAGCCTTTGACATAAGAAAACGAATTGCACAAGTTTTGCGAAAAAAAATTGCATATTTTTTGCAAAAAACCTGTCAAAGGAAATTTGTACATTTTTAGTTTTTCTTGATTAAAAATCAGGTTATTTAAAATTTTGCAAAAATTTTTGCACTTTTGAAATAGCATGGTCAAGGGCTTTTCAAAAATGTATAGTTTTTCATTTTTTGGACAATTTTTTTTTCAAACATTTTTTTTATATAACTGGATTTTGCGATAAAAAATTTAATTTTTGCAAATTTGCAAATTTTTTTGCAGATTCTAAAAGTAGAGCACAAGAGCTTTCCAATGATGTATCATTTGTCATATGTGGACATCAAACATGGGATTTAGAGGGGGGGGGTCAAATTGACCCCCCCCAGCATATCCTGGTTTTCAAGTACCCCAGCAGAGATAGGGTTAAGCTGTTACCTATAATAGATCCACACTGGGATGCTGGAATAATAAGCTTTAGAGTTATCTGCGGTTTGATAGCTCCCTAAACAAATACAATGCAGCTCTTTTCAAGTCAAAATTTGAAATGAATTATTTCTGTTACAAAGCACTGTTGTAGGCAATTATATCAATACAATGAAGACGACTTTCGATATCAATTTTGATTTATATCAAGCTATTAAACAGTGTACGGATACACATAAACATAGAAGTCTACAGAAGATGTCAATAAAAAAGCTTTCCTTTGATTACTTGTGATTTGTAATTCGGAAAAAGATTGTAAATAATCAAAACTTCAATAAAAAATGTCGTCTTCATTGTATTGATGTAATCGCCAACCACTGTGTGTGGTGAAAAGAGTCAGTTTTATATAAACATATATAGATTAAGTGCCCAGCATTGTCAATAATATTTTCTAAAACATAGGCCAAAATTACTGCGGAAAACGACCTCCTGGCCTGGGTAGGGATGAACATCGTTTTGAGGTCTTCAAACATTCCAGGTTTCTTAAAGAAATCAAAATCGAATTTTGCTTTTCATAAAACATCTCATATTCTTTTGGAGCAATATCAAAATCAAAATTTTAAAACGACTTAAAAACGATGCTTATCAGTAAGCCTGGGTCGATACGTTTGTGCACTTGTAATGAGGATTTACATGGTTCACATTTATAATTAATATAATTAAACTCCGCCATGGAAAATATTTACAAGCTCTGCTTTTAATTCTGGAACTTTACTCCTTTAAAGGGAAAGAAGACGGAATTTCTGGTGGTACCCTTTAATATACCTTTGTATGCAGTGTTTCGGATCCATATCATTTTGATTTTGATTCGGATCCGGATCCGGATCCGCGGATCCGCATCCGTGATGATGGATCCGGATCCGAGGTAACTTTTGATTCTGTGAATCGGATTTTCCCTATTAAATGTTATGCAAGGTTATAATTTATAAACTATAGTAATCCTAAAGTTAAAAATGTCGTCATTACTATTATATAAATGTAAACATTAAATTATTAAAGATAATTTTGAAAAATTTTCGTCATGTAAATAATACATTTACGAACCATTTTGATTTATTTATTCTATGGTTTTGGTTAATTTTTGGCGCTACCCGGATCCATATCAACGTTTCCTGAAACGGATCCGGATCCGGATCCGACCAAATGATACGGATCCGACCGGATCCGGATCCGGATCCAAAACACTGTATATAATTGATTTGCGATTTGCATTTAATAAATTTGAATAAAGTTAAAACCTACCATTGAAACCAAAAAAATTGCAAATCTCAATTATTATAAAGAACGAATAAAATGGTTGCATATATAAAAACTTTTCATAACGCTTACCTTTGGAGAATTTTTCAATAAATCGTCTTCTAGTTTATTACAGATCAAACGAAATGCCTAAAACAAAAAAATATCTTAGTTATTTATACTGTCAAGGGTTGATATTTGTTTACAAATTATAAAAATTAGTTTATACTGATTTATTCAGTGCGTACATATATATTATATTTATCTTAAAAATATAGCAAAGGAATTGAGTTTTTGCCACAAACTCTGATTTTCTAATCCGTATATCTTTGCGACCCGATGTCATAGATCTTAGATATTTTAAAGTTTGAACTTTGTTTAATCAAATAGCCGTAGTTTGAAATATCAAAGGGTTATATAATCGGGTTGCAAAGATATAGGGATTAGGACATTTGAATTTGTGGCTAACACTCAATTCCTTTACGTTAGACAAAAATAATTTTCAATTAATTATAAGACCTTAATAAAACTAGAGAGGCTATGAGTGTTATTGACAGATTAGAAATTTTCTTTTGTTACAGAAAATTCACAGGGTTTTATACAGTGATAACCAGAAAACTCTGGAATAGGAAGTCGACTTTTAGAATCAAGTTATGTTCAATGGACATGAAGCACAGCAATAGTGCAGTGTAAGCAGACTCATTTCAGTTAATAAGTGATTTATTAATTGATTTGAAATTACATTAATGTCACTTCAGGATTTCTATTATGTCGTCGTCCTATTGTTTTCTGGTTATCACTGTATTTTGTTGGGTAACCATTTTTCTTTGCTATTTATTTAGTAACTCAGAGAAAACATCAAAGAGTTTAAGTTCCCAAAATGAAAACGGAAATGAAGAAATCTTTTAAATTTATACAGGAAGTGACTGAATAGGTTTAAAGAAATACAGAAGTATATGTAGATAGATAGATGGTAGATAGATATATAGATATCTGGATATACAGATATATGGATATTGAGAATAATAGATATATGGATATCTATAGATGGATATATTGATATATGGATATATAGATATATGGATATATAAAGTAAAGTAAAGTAAAAAATTATTTATTTATGAAATATAACAAAAACATACAAAATAAAGTATTTCAGGAGAAAATATTTAAAAACCTCTAAAG